GCGAATGGAGGTATTCGGAGCTGCAGCTGAGACAAGCGACGAGCCAGCTCGCTGAGGAGAAGGACGAGCAGAGTGGTGTGGGCAAGGCCTCCCAGATCACGATGGCTTTGCCCTGGTTCCCTCCCTCCCCCTTTCCCCCCCCCATCCTTCCCTCCCTCCCTCCCTCCCTTCCTTCCTCCCTAAACCCTAAACCCTAAACCCTAAACCCAAAACCCTAAAGCCTCCCTCCTTCTTCTCACAGGCTTTGACAAGTCCTTCCTCCGATTCTCCGCGCTGGAGGTCCCCGCCTGCCACTCCCGGACCTCGAAGCGGCACGTCGCCCAACGGCCCATAAAGGAACCTTGACGGTTTAGGGTTTAGGAATTTAGGGTTTGGGGGTTTAGGGTTTAGGGTTTAGGGGCTCGATGATTGCATTGATTCCTGATAACCCCCACCAGAACCACCAGCTAGCTAACAACACCGCCACCACCATGAGCAGCAAGCGCAGCAGCCGCCACGATGCAAACGACGACGGCGACGACCACTGCTGCTAGGCTTTGCGTATTCTGCTAAAGATGAGGTGCATCGGCGGCATTGAGTGGCAAGGATGTCTGGGAATCCCGCCGTTCACAGCATCCGCCACTGGGCAAGGAGATCTCCGGCTGTGCCCAGGCAGGAACATCAAAATGGCCTGCGATTCGAAGGAAGTGCTGCCAAGGCTTGTGGGGAGCCACTCCAAGCTGGAAGAAGTAGAACTCTGGGGATGTCATGCAAAGGAAGAGGATGCTTGCAAACTGGAAGGGGTTGCCCTCGCGTGGTGTCGCTTCGTTGCAGACTTTGCTAGACTGCCATTGTTGCTGGTACAAAAGCTCTTGCAACAGAAGCGCCAGAACTCAGACATTCAGAGGTCAGGGCTTGGCAGAGTCTGAGCTGTCGGCTGACGAAGGCAACTGTGTCGCCATCTTCCACCCCTGGGTAGGTGACCTGGCACTCATGCAGGTCGCCGTGGCTTCGGCCAAGTTGGCGCTGGTAATTTGGTAAGACGGTGTCGGCTCGAAGCATGGCTGGGTTGGTTCTTTCTGATGCTACTTGTCAACGCCCCGGCCTTTAAATTTGGTCGACCCGTCTCAAACTCCAGCACCTGCGCGAAGCTTGCAAGAGTGCCCGGTTGCTTGTTGCTTTCCGTTTCAAAGTCCTACGCATTCCTCCCGCCAGCCTCTATCTTCAAAGGGCCGTGGCTGCCGGCGAAACAGGCCAGCTCGTCCTGGCAGAAAGCGTGCCATTCTTCTCAGCAAGCCAGGGGGAGCAGCCGACTCGTACCTACCTAGCGCCACTGCGAGGTCCCTTGCAACCAGAGTGCTCTGCACCTGCTGCCAGCATGACATGGCAAAGCCCCATCGCTGCGTGCCCGCGGAGGTGAAGTCGATGTCAGTGCAAAGAAGAGACAGGCTTGTGTTCACCGGCGTATTCGCGATACGGCCCTCTTCTCCGGTCCTCGACCAGAGTTGCTGCAAAGTGCTCCTCCGCAGGGGCAAGAAGCAGAACCGGTCTGTCGCAGCACGTGTTTCGCAGAGAGCCTGCAACTCATCTCACAATGCCGCACATCACATGCTGCGACTCACTTCATAGAGAAATGCCCTAAACCCCACATGCCACAACGCAAAAAAACCCGAACGTCCTTGGCTGGCCCATATTTGGGGGTCGTCTGAAGTCGACCCAGGCGAGCCTGGCAGGCCGTGGACGGCCGAGGAAAGCTCGGCTCGGATCGTGGAAAAGCTGTGGGTCATGATCGACATACGGGCTGTGAATAATTAGAGTAGTAGCACTAGAACCCCTTGTAGCCAATTGCAGTCCCTGCATAGGTATATATATATATACACACAAACAGATCTATCTATATGTGTGTATATTATGTATATACGTACATACGTATAATATAACATACATCAAAACCCTGTCGAAATAATTAAGACAGCTATATTACTTGAACTCTCAGCATGATGAGTCAATGGCAAGGATGGTGATGATGATGCTGATGACGACGACGACGATGATGATGGTGAGGGACACGGGGGATCATTACTGGTCGAATGCCTTCCTCATACACTGCTCAATGCACATCGTCCGCATGCTGCAATGCCCTGGGTGGGCAGCAAGCCTCTTGTTGGCATATCATATCCGGAATGGCTTGCAGGAAGACCCCTACATGTACCGTGGCTGCACAGTTTGCACAGTTTGCAGCTTCCGAATCTGAATTTTAGCAGGTGAGGCGCTCGCTGACCTTTCTCTTGCACCGGCGATGCAGCACTGCGCTGCTGTCGCCACTTATACTTAGCTTCCGGTTGTGCATTGGGGCAGCGCTCATGAGGTGCCGGGCACGACATCGGGTCTGTCAATCAGCCTCGTAACGTGTTTCATTGAGACGCAGAATCGTATAGCGTTCATTGATTCCCTCTCTCCCCGTCCGACGGATCGCCTCTGCTAGAAATCTGGACAGTAGATCCAGAAAGGCCTTCTCATGAAGAACCTGCATGGAGAAGATGGTCAGGAACGCTGAACTGCTCGTATTTGGCTTGCCAGACATCGGTGCTGGCACAACTGTTAGCGTTAACGATCACGGCGTTTCCGCAACTTGTTACGGAGAGAGGTACCATCCTAAACCTGCACAGCAGCACCGCAATGGATTTGCAAAATTCTCCGGCGAAGCCTGTCTCACAATCTGCCACCTCCGCTGCTGGCATGTAGGAGAAGCCCCTGCTGCCTGCATTCACACTCTCGAGTTTCTAAGCTCATCACATGCAAAGCATGTTGTGTGGGACTTGCAAACGCTGATCCTGACACAACTTGTCAATCCTGACTGAAATGCCCAAACCTTGAATCCTTCCTGCTGCGAAGTGCCGGGAGGTGGCTCAGTGGGCTTCCCCCCAAACATGGCAAGCACAAGAAGAATCACTGAGAAAAGCGCACCATCTCCCCCGCATCATCGGTTGCATCGGCATCAACAGCACTAGCAGCTTCCCGACTGTTGTCAATCTCAAGGCTATGCTTCTAACCCGTCTCTTCTTTCATCCTCGCCCTCCGCCATCGCATTCCTCATCCTCCCCCTCAAGCAGCAGCACCACGATCACACCCTAAACCCTAAACCCTAAACCCTAAACCTTAACCACCGGCAACAGCAGCAGCACCGGCATCTACCGGCAGCAGAGGCAGCAGCAGCTGCGGTTGGTATCTGCACCGAGAGATATGGGAGTCTCCGAAAATTTGGGTAGCTTATTTTGGGGTCCTTATAAATAATAAGGATCCTACTATTTAAGCTACTATATAAGGATCCTACTATTTAAGGTACTGTATTAGGGTCCCCTATTTTCGGAAACCCCCATATGGACTCTTGCACTCTTGCGCCCTTTGCGGATGTTAAGCCTATGGGAGTTAGGATTAGGGGGACCCTTGGGGATATAGACCCTCTCAATAAGGTCCCTTTTAAGAGAGCCATAAGTAGGGTTAAGAAGGGGTCCCCTTTGAGGGGTCCCCCTAATACTACCTAGGACTCTTTGCACCCTAAACCCTAAACCCTAAACCCCTAAACCCTAAACCCTAAACCCCTAGACCCTAGACCCTAAACCCTAAACCCTAAGACTACCTAGGAGCCTAGGAAGGGCCTCTCCCAGAAGGCGCCGTGACACGAAGCGCCTTTCCGCCTCCGAAGTCCGGCGCTCGCCCTGCACAAAGGGCCCCAAAAGGGTTTAGGGTTTCGGGTTTCGGGTTTAGGGTTTAGGGTTTAGGGTTTCGGGTTTAGGGCTTAGGGTTTAGGGTTTCGGGTTTAGGGTTTAGGGTTTAGGAGTCAACGCTCGGAGGGCTTACTTGTAGTGTCTGTTTTGCTTCGGATTGCCGTTCCGAAGACGCTGCCTACCGGGCTGAAGTTTCCTCGTCTATGACCTCTGAATAGCTCTACTTCAGAAAACAACACCGGACTGTCAACTGAGTTCTTGCAGCTGCATCAAGACGCTCATGCATGCGAAGACGTCACAACACCGAACTATGCATGGAAGTCTGCACCCGGCCCGTTTCCAATGGAACTGCGAAGTTTAGGAATTCGACTTCGCATTGCGACGAGGAAGAACCAATCTTCTGTTTCCGGGCCATTATTCAGATTGGGCTCCTTTCCTGAATCATGAATGATGTTCCCCACAAGTATCAGGATTATGGGACCTACACCCTAAACCCTAAACCCTAAACCATACTACTGAAGGCTTAGAAGCCCAACGCTTGCAGCACATCAAAGCCCAGGTGGAGATCAGCGCGCAGGATCTAATGCTTTTCTTCCGATCGCATATGCCAAGGAAGCCGCCTCCAAACAGGGGTTTAGGGTATAGGGTTTATTAGGGACACAATCCACGGCAGCCTGTAAACAACTAAAGAACTCTGACATCGTCCGTGGCAAAATCGAAAGTCATCGTGAACTTGCAATCGGTCTGAAAACGAAGGCCTCTAGTGAACCACAGTGAACCAGGACAGATCCTCTCAAAAAATGATGTAGAACCCTAAACCCTAAACCCTATTAAACCCCAAGCCATGAACATACCAAAAAGCCGCAGACCCTAAACCCTAAACCTTGAAACCTAAACCCTAAACCCTTAACCCTAAACCCTAAACCCCAAACCCTAAACCCTACACTCTGAACCCTGGTCGCCTCTGTCTCCGCAAAGCCCAGGCCCCGGCCCCGGCGCAGGGGCGCCGCGAGGGGCGCAGAAGAGGCCTTGGCCTGGCAAGAGGCTTTCGGGGTTCGACTCTTCGGGCTTACAGGGCTTTTATAGGGTTGTAAGAGTAAGAGGGCTTATAGGGTCTTAAAAGGGGCTTATAGGGTTTGTAAGGCTTATAATAGGGTTTATTGGGTTTGAATGGGGTTTATAGGGTTTGCAGGTCTTCTAGGGTTTTTATAAGGTTTTTGTAGGGTTTTTATAGGGCTTATAGGGTTTTTATAGGGTTTTAATAGGGCTTATAGGGTTTGTAGGGTTTTAACAGGGCTTATCGGGTTGTTTGGGTTTTAATAGGGGTTTATAGGGTTTGTAGGGCTTATAGGGTTTTTATAGGGTTTTTATAGGGCTTATGGGGTTTATGGAGCTTATGGGGTTTATAGGGTTTTTTGAGGTTTATAGGGCTTGTAGGGTTGTAATAGGGTTGACAGGGCTTATAGGGTTTATAGGGCTTATAGGGTTTATAGGGTTTGTAGAATTTATAGGGTTTATAGGATTTATAGGTTTTTTGGGTTTATAAAGTGTATAGGGTTTACAGAGCTTATAGGGCTTATAGGGTTTAGAGAGCTTACAGGGCTTATAGGGCAAACAGGGTTTATAGGGCTTCTTGGGACAGTAGGGTTTTAATAGGGCTTATAGGGCTTATAGGGCTTGTAAGGGTTTTAAGGGGTTTATAGGGCTCATAGGGTTTATAGGGTTTATGGGATTTATGGGGTTTATAGGGCTTATAGGGTTTAGTGCCAATAATTTTAGGGCTAGGGATAAGCCTTTGGGGAGCAGGATTTGGGGAGAGGGGTCCTGCGCGCCGGATGTTCGTGGCTTTTGTGGGGTCCACAACGATCTGGAACTGGCCAGCAGAACGCTTTAGGCCCTCTTTCAATCCCGTATAAACCCAAACCCGAAACCCTGAACCCTAAACCCGAAACCCTCAACCCTAAACCCTAAACCCTAAACCCTAAACCCCAAACCTAAACCCTCTCAACCCTGCAACTCAAAACCCCCCCCTAAAGTTCAGGGCTCCACAAAAGCCGCCTTCGGGTCGGCCTTGCCCAGGAAGAAGCGCACCAAGCCCCCGAGGCAGCCGAGGGAGGTGCCCAGAAGAGTGCCCTTCCTGTCGAGGGTCGGGCACTCTACTCTACTCTAGTTGCTATAGCACAGGAGGGTACTCTGCTCTACTATAGTTGCTATAGTACTCTACTATTTCTAGTATGGTAGAGTTTGAGTATAATCGCATATGCGGCTCAAGTATGTTCGGATCGTCGACCTCTCGTGCTGAACGAACCACCAGTATTGCTGTTGGCCCCAGGCTGACATCCAAGAATCTGGCCCTGGTCGGGGTGTTAGCGTACGTTCTTCTGAAAGAACCTCATTCTACTAGACTCATTGCTCATACTCTGCATTACTGTACTCTACTACAGTAGTGTAGAGTAGAGTACCCTAAACCCTAGACCCGAAACCCGAAACTCTAAACCCGAAACCCTAAACCCTAGAGTAGAGTACCCTACCACACTAGAGTAGAGTGTGAACCTCAGCCAATTGAGTCTCCTTCCAGGCGCTCTGAACCCCAAACCCTCGTCCGTGGCAATTTCATGAACTTAACCGGCCAGATTAGAATATAGCATTGTATAACATATCATAGTATATCTATAATATAGTTTAGTATCGTATGAGAGACGCTGAAGGTCTACATCCATCGCGGCTGATAGAGAATTCCGCACTAGCAAACCGCAGACCCAGAAAGGCAACCCTAAACCCTGAACCCTAAACCCTAAACCCTGAACCCTAAACCCTGAACCCTAAACCCTAAACCCTAAACCCTGAACCCTGAACCCTAAAAGACTGGAAAGGCGAGTCGCCCAGCCGCCAGCGTCAAGGCGGTCACATTGGCCATGGTGCATCATGAACACCCAGGGTTTAGGGTTTAGGGTTTAGGCTCTAGGGCTTAGGGTTTTAGGGTTTAGGGAAGCATGATCGTGCGCGTGATTGTATGCAAAGATTCCCCTGATCTCCAGAGCTACAACTCTTGTTTGACTGTATCGTGGCCACGCGGCGAGCCTTAGTTCATCCCCGACAGTGACAGACTCGGCACCCAACTTCAGGCATCATATGATGTACGCATGCACTGGACCAGGCAGCTGGGGTATCATGTAGCTACAGGTAGCGCGCAGAGCCCTGTCGAAAAGCACCCAGGGCACATGCCACCACATGGTTTCGAAATCTCTTCCTGCCACATGGCTTTGGGGAAAAACGGCCCCCGGTGATGGAGATGCCATCGCAGCAACCAGAGACATCGACCACACGTCGTCGTCGAGTCTACAGAAGCACGGCATGCATCTTTCCGCCAGGCATCAAACAAAGAAGCCTTTTCTGACTGGAAAAGCGCTGCTCATTCGCACTTGCGGTCCTTGCACTGCTGTTCAGCGCAAGCCTCGGTGCCTCAGGGCAGAGGGAAAGCAAACCGGAGGTCGCTCGGGAGAGAGTCCCGTCTGTGTGCATGAGAAACCCTATTTCTGTCTCTCTCTCTCTCTCTCTCTTTCTTTCTTTCTTTCGGCAGGGTTATGGACAAGGGGGTACTCTCACTCTCTCTCTCTCTCTCTCGCTCTTTCTTTCGCCAGGGCTACGGGCAAGAGTTGCCCCTTGCCCGCGCGCTTCACGCGCCCCCGACTGTTGCGGGGCCTTTGGTGAGATTAAAGACGACTCGACAACAAGGCAACCTGGCCACAGCGCTGAAAGAAACACTCAAAGGCAAGGATGCACATCATGATGGCAAGTCTCGGGCCAGGTTGTACTGGGTTCTTCCCAGAGGGCTGTCGTGGAGTGTCGTTATTTGGAGGTCCTCCCCACGTCTACACACAATAGAAAAGGCCAAGAAAGACGACGGAACGAGTAGGGCAGGGACCTCATATCAACTACAAGGGACTTGGAGTCTTCCCGAAAAGGCAGTGCACGACTCGATCTGAAGCCAATTCCAAGCCCGAAAAACATCCCCGGGGACCAACTCAAGTCAAGACAACCTCTCTCGCTCTCTCTCTCTCTCTCTCTCTCTATCTGTATGTGTATATATATATATACGTACATACATATATGATTTGTATATGTGTACAGATAGATAGATAGATAGATAGATGGATGGATGGATGGATGGATGGATGGATGGATGGATAGGTGGATAGATGGATAGATGGATAGATGGATAGATGGATAGATGGATA